GGGGGAGGAGAGGGGGAAAGAAGGAGAGATGGGGAGAGAGGAGGAGACAAAGAAAGCATGTTATATGTTGCATACTAGGAGAACACACAAGAAAGATCCCTGTGAGTCACTGTTTGACTTTTTGGGTTGAGAGCTGATTGGCTGATGGAGGGCGGTCCTCTCAAATGTGACAAAGGCAAAAAACACAGCCATGAAAACTAGTGAAACAACTGTTGCTGTTATTACATAGTCTTGCTTATTGTGATTGAAAGTTACGTACCCGAGCTTTAATACTATTTCAAAAGACAGGGAGGTGTTGGTTATAGATTTGTTGTTGACAAAACTCTTGTCTATTCAGCTGTTATGGTCCCAGCTGGATTCGTCTGCATATCTGGCAACCTGAGTCAGGGAGAGTGGGAGAGGCTGCAGTACCACTTTTGGCCAGATTATCACTTATAGCTCCTTTTTAAGCACTTTGAGTTTCCTTGTGTATGGACTGTGCTTTACGCAGATAAACGTTCTTTTCATTGTGATCTTGGGATATTTGGCCTTGTTAATTGTTAGTCTGTGTATTTTCAGGACCATTTGGACAAAGCCATCGAGCTGAAGCCTCACGACCCTCTGTCCTACTACCTGATGGGGCGCTGGTGCTACGCTGTACGTATCTGAGCCACAGCCCCACCCCTTCTGTCCAAACCCTCTGTTTTCCAGCGAGTGACGACTCCACAGACTAGAACATGTTTTCTGGTTTTTAAATTAGCTTTGGCCATTTCTCCACTTAGGCGATCAAAAGATATGATCCAGATGTAAATGTAGCAGAAAGTCATTTTAAGATTCACGGTTCAATTTCTTGTTGTAGTGGATAAGTTAGTCAGTAAACCCCAGGATCAACAGAGAGACCAGAAAGAGACTAGAGAGAGCGAGGGAGATACAAGAAAGAGAGAAAAGCTAGAGACTAGAGAGAGACCAGAAAGAGAAGACGAGAGAAAGAGAAGATCAGAGAGAATAGAGTGAGTCTAGAGAGACTCAGAGAGAGAGCTACCAGAGAGAGAGACCAGAGAGAGACCAGAGAGAGAGACCAGAGAGAGAAACCAGACCTGTTGCTTCTTTCAGGTCTGAGGAGAACCCTGTTCATTCTTCTTGTGTATCTGTGACTCCTCTCTCTCACACCTGAACAGAGTCTCCTAGTTTCACACAGTCATAACTCCTCTTGCTCCTGTCAGAAAAGCCTTGAAGCAAACTCCAAAACACAACTCCATCCATCAGAGAACCATCAGAGAACCATCAGAGAACCATCTGTCTATCTATCTATCTATCTATCTATCTATTTCAGTAACTTTCGCAAGGTACTGTAGATAGAATTTGGCCCCCTTGAACCTTTCAACATTTCGCCACATTTCAGGCTTCAAACATAAAGATATAAAAAAAATTTTTTTTTGTCATGAATCAACAACAAGTGGGACACATTTGTGAAGTGGAACGAAATTTATTGGATAATTTTAACTTTTTTAACAAATAAAAAACTGAAAAGTGGGGCGTGCAATATTATTCGGCCCCTTTACTTTCAGTGCAGCAAACTCAGTCCAGAAGTTCAGTGAGGATCTTTGAATGATCCAATGTTGTCCTAAATGACTCATGATGATAAATAGAATGCACCTGTGTGTAATCAAGTCTCCGTATAAATGCACCTGCTCTTTGATAGTCTCAGGGTTCTGTTTAAAGCGCAGAGAGAACCATGAAGACAAAGGAACACACCAGGCAGGTCCGAGATACTGTTGTGGAGAAGTTTAAAGCCGGATTTGGATACAAAAAGATTTCCCAAGCTTTAAACATCTCAAGGAGCACTGTGCATGCAATTATATTGAAATGGAAGGAGTATTAGACCACTGCAAATCTACCAAGACCCGGCCGTCCCTCCAAACTTTCATCTCAAACAAGGAGAAGACTGATCAGAGATGCAGACAAGAGGCCCATGATCGCTCTGGATGAACTGCAGATAACTACAGCTGAGGTGGGAGAGTCTGTCCATAGGACAACAATCAGTCGTGCACTGCACAAATCTGGCCTTTATGGAAGAGTGGCAAGAAGAAAGCCATTTCTCAAAGATATCCATAAAAAGTCTTGTTTAAAGTTTGCCACAAGCCACCTGGGAGACACACCAAACATGTGGAAGAAGGTGCTCTGGTCAGATGAAACCAAAATCAAACTTTTTGGCCACAATGCAAAACGATATGTTTGGCGTAAAAGCAACACAGCTCATCACCCTGAACACACCATCCCCACTGTCAAACATGGTGGTGGCAGCATCATGCTTTGGGCCTGCTTTTCTTCAGCAGGGACAGGGAATATGGCTAAAATTGATGGGAAGATGGATGGAGCCAAATACAGGACCATTCTGGAAGAAAACCTGTTGGAGTCTGCAAAAGACCTGAGACTGGGACGGAGATTTATCTTCCAACAGGACAATGATCCAAAACATAAAGCCAAATCTACAATGGAATGGTTCACAAATAGACGTATCCAGGTGTTAGAATGGCCAAGTCAAAGTCCAGACCTGAATCCAATCGAGAATCTGTGGAAAGAGCTGAAGACTGCTGTTCACAAACGCTCTCCATCCAACCTCACTGAGCTCGAGCTGTTTTGCAATATACAGTGCCTTGCGAAAGTATTCGGCCCCCATTGAACCTTTCAACATTTCGCCACATTTCAGGCTTCAAACATAAAGATATAAAAATTACATTTTTTTGTCAAGAATCAACAAGTGGGACACAATCGTGAAGTGGAACAAAATTTATTGGCTAATTTAAACTTTTTTAACAAAACTAAAACTGAAAAGTGGGGCGTGCAATATTATTCGGCCCCCCTTGCGCTAATACTTTGTAGCGCCACCTTTTGCTGCAATTACAGCTGCAAGTTGCTTGGGGCATGTCTCTATCAGTTTTGCACATCGAGAGACTGGAATTCTTGCCCATTCTTCCTTGCAAAACAGCTGGAGCTCAGTGAGGTTGGATGGAGAGCGTTTGTGACCAGCAGACTTCAGCTCTTTCCACAGATTCTCGATTGGATTCAGGTCTGGACTTTGACTTGGCCATTCTAACACCTGGATACGTCTATTTGTGAACCATTCAATTGTAGATTTGGCTTTCTTCTTGCCACTCTTCCATAAAGGCCAGATTTGTGCAGTGCACGACTGATTGTTGTCCTATGGACAGACTCTCCCACCTCAGCTGTAGTTATCTGCGGTTCATCCAGATTGATCATGGGCCTCTTGGCTGCATCTCTGATCAGTCTTCTCCTTGTTTGAGATTAAAGTTTGGAGGGACGGCCGGGTCTTGGTAGATTTGCAGTGGTCCGATACTCCTTCCATTTCAATATAATTGCTTGCACAGTGCTCCTTGAGATGTTTAAAGCTTGGGAAATCTTTTTCTATCCAAATCCGGCTTTAAACTTCTCCACAACAGTATCTCGGACCTGCCTGGTGTGTTCCTTTGTCTTCATGGTTCTCTCTGCGCTTTAAACAGAACCCTGAGACTATCAAAGAGCCGGTGCATTTATACGGAGACTTGATTACACACAGGTGCATTCTATTTATCATCATCAGTCATTTAGGACAACATTGGATCATTCAAAGATCCTCACTGAACTTCTGGAGTGAGTTTGCTGCACTGAAAGTAAAGGGGCCGAATAATATTGCACGCGGCGCTATCTGCTCATTTGTGCACAAAGAAACAGGAGAAGCACTGGCCGAGCCCTACAAAATGACCTCCGGAGGGCCACAAATGTGCATGTTGGTACTCAAACGGTCAGAAACCGACTCCATGAGGAAGGTATGAGAGCCCGACGTCCACAAGTTGGGCCGATGCTTACTGCCCAACACCGTGCAGCCTGATTGGCATTTGCCCAAGAACACAGCGATTGGCAGATTGTCCAATGGTGCCCTGTGCTCTTCACGGATGAGAGCAGGTTCACCCTGAGCACATGTGACAGACGGGACAGAGTCTGGAGACACCCTGGAGAACGTTCTGCTGCTTGCAACATCCTCCAGCATGACCAGTTTGGTGGTGGGTCAGTGATGGTCTGGGGAGGCGTTTCATTGGAGGGCCGCACAGCCCTCCATGGGCTAGCCAGAGGTTCCCTGACTGGCATTGGGTACCGGGATGAGATCCTCAGACCTTTTGTAAGCCCTGGGTTCCTTCTGATGCATGATAATGCCAGGCCACATGTGACAAGAGTGGGTCAGCAGCTCCTGCATGATGAAGGTATTGATGTTTTGGACCGGCCTGCCCGTTCCCCAGACTTAAACCCAATAGAGCACATCTGTAACGTCATGTCTCGTCCATCCATCAATGCCACGTCGCACCACAGACTGTCCAGGAGCAGACTGATGCTGTAATCCAGATCTGGGTGGAGATCCCTCAGGAGGACCTCCGTGGTCTCATCAGGAGCATGCCCAGGAGTTGTAGAGAGTGTGTGTGGCACATGGAGGCCACACACACTACTGAGGATGATGAAGACTCATTTTGAGGAATTTCTACAGAATTTGGATCAACCAGTTACCTCATTTGTCACTTTGATTTTGACTATAATTTTGGATTCAGACCTCCAGGGGCTGAGAATTTTATTTCCATTTGTCATTCTTATGTTATTTTGTTCTCAACTCACTATGAATAAAGATTTTCATCTAAAAAATCTAATTGATTGACATCTAGGATGCGTTTTTTGAGTGTGCCCTAAGTTTTTGTGAGCAGTGTACCTGTATATATATGTATCTACTGTATCTATATATCTTTCTACCTGTGTATCTTTCTACCTGCCATCATGTGTTGGATGCCTACAGTAGATAACAGTGTGTGACATCACAGAGGTGCAGGCTGGATGTGATTTTCCACTGGGGAAAGCTGATCCGTAAGGGATCCGTCGGAGCGCTGTGCCGTGTGTTGATACAGGGGAAAGTTGTGCTGTGTAATGTCCTCTGGAACCGGAGCCGCAGCGCCGCACTGACACCGGATCGCCGCCTTCACACGGTCACTCCGCTTTGTGCGCAGGTGGCTCAGTTGTCGTGGCTCGAGAGGAAAGTCGCTGCCACGTTATTCGGCGAACCCCCCAGCGCCTCCGTGGAAGACGCACTCCGGAATTTCTTAAAGGTACACTCACGCTGTCACAATAAATACATTTGTTATTTTGGTCTGGAGATATACAGCAATAACGGTGAAAGAACCAGCATAAATACACACACACAAATACGTACAAGAAATACACACACAAATACTGTACGTACAAAAAAATACACACACACATATGTACAAAAAATACACACACACACGTACAAAAAAGATACACTCACACATACGTACGTTAAAATACACACCTATACGTACAAATATACATACATACACACACACACACACAAACACTTCTGTATAAAGTTTTAGTAATTTTATTGTCAATCAACATGCTTTGCCATCCCAATAATTTTCAAACTTGAAAAAGGAAAATATCTTCTCCCCCTCTGGTGGCAGCATAAGGAATTACAGGCGCATAGCATTTTCTTTTTTTTACCCTTTATTCTTTTTCCACCCTATCCCTACCCCCTACCGAAGATATTATTTCACATTCTAAAACATCAACAATAAGTAAATGATCTCATTATCTTATGTATTGGCCAAAAGTAGTGGTAATATTTTCTGATGCTTTACATTATGTGTCCTGAACGTTCAACAAATGTACTTATTCTATCCTCTGTTTGTACATGTAGCATATTAGCTAGTTTACATAACAATGTGTAGTTTTTTTGTCGTGTTTTTTGTCTCAACCTTAAATTAAGCTAAACATCCACTAAAATATGTAATGGTTATCAATCTTGTTTTATGTGTCTTTGGAGCTACTATTTATCTTGTTCCTACAGCTGGACTTTTATATCACCTGTGGCTCCAGTCCTGGGATCCATCGTGCTACTTTGCGCTCAGGTTTCCAAGAGCCACATGAAAGCCTCTGTCATTTACAAAATCTCAAAAGCGCAGGAAGATTAAAAAGTTCTCCGTTGCTAATTGCGCGGCTCTTTGAGAAAACTACCAAACGGTGTCCTCTTCTGCTCCTGCTTCTACAACTCCACAGACAGAGGTGTTGATTTAATCGTTCCACATTTTTGCTTTATTGACACATGCCTCCAGGTTGCTTCTGTTCCAGACCAACCCCAGTGCATTTAAAACTTAATCCTCTATATTCAAACTCTTCATCTGTTTATATAGCATGGATTTTAACCCGACCGCTCCCGGCCAAGACTTCCCCTGCTCCGGTCTCGTGCGCTCGGATCGTCTCGGTAGTTGATTTGAGCGGTGTGTGTTGAGACTTGCCTGCCGTGACCAGAATCAGTGTGTTGTCTGTGTGTGTGACTGGATGGAGACGTCTCACTCGGGGCTAAAAACCTGTTACCGATGTTTTCCAGGTTGAAGAAATCCAGCCGGGCTATTCCAAACTCAACTATGTCTATCTCGCAAAGGTCAGTGAGAAGTATTGGAGAAGTTCAAAGGGCCGAGTATGGAGCCCTGAGGGATACCAGGGTTTGAAAGTAGTAGTAATCGATATGTTTACAAACTTTGAATTGTGTTTTGTTGATATATTTTACAGATGATTAGTCACAACAGAAAGTCTTGTAACAAAAGGGACCACAACTTTGCTTATTAGAAATGTCGTCTTTAGCGTAAGATCCCTGTGAGTCACAATTTGAAGTTTTGAGCAGACATTTCTGGACTGTGGTCATCCCGTTCCGTATGGACCAATGGCTGCTATGTGTTTGGTATTATTTTATTTCTTTTGTCCGCACTGTTTGATTCTCTGATCTGTTATCGACAAAGCACTATTGTGATTTAGGGCCAGAGCTGGTGCTTGCCTTGCTGGGGCCCTAAGCAGAAGTCAGTATAGGGGCCCTACACCTAATTCAAGAAACCATACAAATTAAGCAAGCAGACGTTCCGTTACACATATATATTACAATTACATAATTCACACTAATCAAGCAATAAAAGACTGGGTTAGTGATTGATTACACACGATAAAATAACATTTGAACTTTTCACACACGATTTGGCATGGATAGAATCACTCAGATTTGTGCAAAAGACAGAAGTGTGCAACATGTTAAAATACAAGAATAAATAAAATACAAATAAGTAGTGCAGTATTAAACTGACCAGCACAATACAGAACAAACAAGGTGGAAAATGTACTCAAAATGTACTTTGCAAGACCACTTATACGCTCCTGACCCAATGAAGCTCAAGTATGTTTTTATTAACACAACAAATTAATTACAGATATTGTTATTTCACTTTTATGATCTAGTACTATTATCATAATTATTATTATCATCACCACTAGTATTATTATATTACCTTAATATTATTAGTAGTACATTATACTAACACTGTTATTATGTCTAAATTACAAATGTAACAAAATACTTCTGATTACCAAAGGAGCAGGTTTAGTTTGAAGGTGTCCACCTTAACCACAACAAAGAGCTTGATTTGGGACTCGTTAAAAACAGAAATAAAACATGTCAGACACAATATTCAACTTTCTTTGCAGACGTCAATGCGTCGGGTCTGCGCCACATGTTTTTGTACTCTTTTGTACTTTTTTTTTCCTTTTTTCATCACTCCGCTTCAGCGTCTCTTCAGCCTCGGCTGTGGCTGTGGACGGAGGGGAGGGTTCAAAGTGCGACGTAAGGACGTAACGTATGAGGATCAACCCATTTGATTGGTTGTTGACACAACAACCAATCAAATGGTTGTGATTCAGGATACGAAGGGCCTCGTAACTGCACGAGTGAGAGTCCGCACTCCGGGGCCCTACGCATACTGCGTCGTCTGCGTATAGGAAGCGCCGGCTCTGTTTAGGGCTATACAAAAATGTATTTAAATGTTACTTTTAGTCAATATTATATAATTATAGCACTGCTTTAGAAAGTTATCTGTGAATTGAGGAGGGAAAAATCATTCTTTCTGTCTAATGCATGCAGCAAGGAACTGTATATTTATCTCAATCATGTGAGTCGCCTTTTAGACTTTGACAGCAGACTTTGAAAAGTTCTCAAAAACAGATCAGAGAATCAAACCGTTGGAAAACAGGAAATTCAATATCACCACACAGAAGCCTTTGGTTCATTGTGAGGATCACCGATGTCCATAAATGTTAAAAAAAAAAGGCGTTTAAATACCCTGTGCTCTTAAATGCATCTTTCCTCGTGGTCTCATGAGGATCCTATCGACACGCAGACATCAAACTCAACCACAGTAGAATCAGCTTCTCAGAAAGTCTTCATCAATAGTATTCAATAGAAGAAGAAGAAGGTGCAGTTTTCATTTCCAGCCTGGTTTTTTTTGTTTTTTGTTTCCAATTTTATGAGTCCCTTAGATGGGACTCAAAACCCATCTAAGGGACTCAAAACCCATCTTTTTACTAAAGCGTACTGCTAATTCTTTTTATAGTCTTTTACCTGATTTTATGTGTTTGCTTTTATTTATGCTCCTGTTTGTAGCACTTTGAGATTTGATGTCAAATATAAAGTGCATTATAAATAAAATTTATTATTATTATTATTATTATTATTTTCTAGTTACAACAACAAATCTGTAAACAATCTGTAAACATCACATGCCAAACTTCTTACTTTATAAGTGCTTCATCCACCACCAAAGGCTTATTGGCGCTGACAGATATGAGTTCATACCAGGGCTGGGCGATATGGCAAAAAAGTCAAATCTCGATTCTATTTCCTGCTTTGGACCATTTCGATTTAACTTGTTTGCACCGAGAGCCGAAGCCATTTCCTAGTGTGTGACTTCCTGTTTCTCACATGGCAATAAAAAATATTCTGATTCAATTTCACGATTTTCACCTTGTTCACAAATTCGATTTTTTTCAAAAGCCGATTAATTGCCTATATTTGATTAATTGCCCAGCCCTAGTTCATACAGGGGAAAATAAAACAAAGAAATGTATATATGTGTACTTTTTATATACACATTTGAGCCTGATGTGTGACTGCTGCTGCGGTTGTCAGTGTTACAGAGACCTGGGGCAGCAGGCGAAGGCTCGGAGGTGGTGTGAGAAGGCCACCTCAGCCCCGGCACAGACCAGAGAGGTACAAACACCATCTGTCAATCATCTGAGTTTACACACACAAACACACGCTTTGTTCTAAAACTGGCAGTAATAATAATACATCTTTTTTGTATTGCACTTCTCAAAAACCAGTATTTATAAAGCGCTGCACAGTTAGCATAAAGCAGTAAAAACATCTGGATATGCTAATTGCTACATTTGGATATGCTAACAGCTACATCTGGATATGCTAATAGCTACATCTGGATATGCTATGCTAACAGCTACATCTGGATATGCTAACAGCTACATCTGGATATGCTAATAGCTACATCTGGATATGCTATGCTAACAGCTACATCTGGATATGCTAATAGCTACATCTGGATATGCTAACAGCTACATCTGGATATGCTAATAGCTACATCTGGATATGCTATGCTAACAGCTACATCTGGATATGCTAATAGCTACATCTGGATATGCTATGCTAACAGCTACATCTGGATATGCTAATAGCTACATCTGGATATGCTAACAGCTACATCTGGATATGCTAATAGCTACATCTGGATATGCTAATAGCTACATCTGGATATGCTAATAGCTACATCTGGATATGCTATGCTAACAGCTACATCTGGATATGCTAATAGCTACATCTGGATATGCTAACAGCTGCATCTGGATATGCTATGCTAACAGCTACATCTGGATATGCTAATAGCTACATCTGGATATGCTAACAGCTGCATCTGGATATGCTAATAGCTACATCTGGATATGCTAACAGCTACATCTGGATATGCTAACAGCTGCATCTGGATATGCTAACAGCTACATCTGGATATGCTATGCTAACAGCTACATCTGGATATGCTAACAGCTACATCTGGATATGCTAATAGCTACATCTGGATATGCTAATAGCTACATCTGGATATGCTAACAGCTACATCTGGATATGCTAATAGCTACATCTGGATATGCTAATAGCTACATCTGGATATGCTAACAGCTACATCTGGATATGCTAATAGCTACATCTGGATATGCTAACAGCTACATCTGGATATGCTAATAGCTACATCTGGATATGCTAACAGCTACATCTGGATATGCTAATAGCTACATCTGGATATGCTATGCTAACAGCTACCCTCTCTCCTCAGGCTGAAGAGGCGCAGAAGGAGCTGGACGTCCTGTGTCCGGCTTTGGGAGTTTGACGTTGGATCCATTTTATCTGTGACTTTGTGGACGTTTTTTAAAGAATTATTCCTCTCTGTCCCGCAGCCTGTGGGGACAGAATTCTGAGGAGACACAAAGGAAATACTGCTAAGAGTTTTTAAAATCAAAAATAATCTCAAAACACTATTGTAGTTTTTGTCGTCGCGCTTATTTATTCAACGAAGACCCAAGAGAGAAATGGGAAAAATGGTTTTGTTTTGTGTTTTTGGAGATGTATCTGTAGTGCAGCACAAACACTTTTAATAATTATTTAAAAATAGGTTGTGGCAAACTTGTCTGAATTTTTGTCGGCAGAAAAACATTGAAATTTCTCTGTAATCTTTTGTATCATTTGTAATCTGAAGCTAAATCAGAATCTGACTCTGATCCGCTGAGATTCAACACATTTTTTGCCAATTTATTTTCATTTTTTAATCTGGTTTTACAGACAACTGTTTTGGTTAAAACTTGACCAAATATTGACATTTTGTACCTAATTTTAAAGCTCAGAGTCGTCCTAATCTTCGCTTGGGAAGTTTTGTATCATTTTTTATTGATACAAAGCTGCTTCAGAGAAAGGTCACTTCTAACACGTATCTCAGTGTTGGTGGCTGACATGTTTGTTATGGGCAAAACTATAAGGAAGTGCTCATGGATGAAGTTTTGCTCCATCTCTCACTGGCTCATATGGACTCTTGTGTAAAAGTGAACTCCTCTAACTCACTAACTGTGTCACACTCAACATTTTGGGTTTAAATCCCTGGTTTCTGGCTCTCTGTGATCCTGGTGTTTGTATCGAGATGTTGCCAGATATGAGCTGTATAAAGATCAACCAATCAGAGGCCTTCATTCAGGTGGGAAACTCCAGCTTGCCTTAGCAGCCGTCTTAGCAACAAATCTCTGAAACAAATGCCCATATATGGAAATTGGCTCCAGTTAGAAAACTTTATCTGTTTCTGTTTCTTTTCAGGAAGTTTATTATTATAAGTTTATTTTTGTAATGAAATTATCCTTTATTTTTTTTATATGTGAGTAATTCTACTTCTAAAATAAAGATGTCGACCAAAAGACATTTGAAGCAACATTCAGTGGAAGTTAAAGCCACTCATTTCGCTGGTCCTGGTCTGGTCTGGTCTGGTCCTGGTCGGATCTTGGAATGGTCTTGGAATGGTCTTGTACTGGTCTCGGTCTGGTCCTGGTCTTGTACTGGTCTTGGTCTGGTCCTGGTCTAGTTCTGTTCTGGTCTTGTATTGGTTTTGGCCTTGTCCTGGTCTTGTACTGGTCTCGGTCTGGTTCTGGTCTTGTACTGGTTTTGGTCTTGTCCTGTCTAGTTCTTCACTGGTCCTTTACTGGTCCTGGTCTGGTCCTTGTCTAATTCTGTATTGGTTATTTACTGGTCTTGGACTGGTCCTGGTCTGGTCTGGTCCTGGACTGGTCTTGTACTGGTCCTGGTCTGGTCCTAGTCTAGTTCTGTACTGGTCCTGTACTGGTCCTGGTCTGGTCCTAGTCTAGTTCTGTACTGGTCCTGTACTGGTCCTGGTCTGGTCCTTGTCTAGTTCTGTATTGGTCCTGTACTGGTCTTGGACTGGTCCTGGTCTGGTCCTGGTCTGGTCCCAGTTCGGTTTTCCACCAGAGAGCGGGAGTCTGTGGGAGTTTTAAGAGTTTCAGTTTCTGGGGGTCCAAGAGTTACAGCCTCTGGTGATGTCACACTCAGTGCTCTCCTCATACACGGTCTATAAAGTGGGGAAAGTTATTGATTTCATGTTTTTTGGCTTAAAACTGCTGCGTCTGCTTTGTTTAATCACATACACTACTGTTCAAAAGTTTGGGGTCACATTGAAATGTTCTTATTTTTGAATGAAAAGCTGTAGATAATTTAAACTAGTCTAAACTATAAAGAAATACACTCTATACATGGCTTATGTGGTAAATGACTGTTCTAGCTGCAAATGTCTGGTTTTTGGTGCAATGTTGTAATTGCTGCAAATGGAGGATTCTTTGACGAAAACAAAGTTTGATGTAAAAGAAATCTTATTTCAAATCATTATTTCTAACCTTGTCAATGTCTTGACTCTATTTTCTGTTCATTTCACAAAGTATGGTGGTGAAGAAGTGACTTTTCATGGAAAACACTTTGGTGACCCCAAACTTTTGAACGGTAGTGTAAATGCAACACTAAAGACTCGTACTTTTACATTCCTTTTTTATTTGATTCTGAGAGATTTTAGACAAATACAGAGGTTTTGCACAGTTAAACACAGGAAAAGTTAAAAACGGCTTTGACTTTTTTACTCTGCTCTTGTTAATCAATAATAATGATGAGTCTAGTTTCCTGAAGACTCCAAAAAGTACATTTATCAACTTATTTCTCAATGAATCTAGATAAAATCATACTAGACACTGGTACAAGAGCTCATGGTGGGGCTGGAGCTTTTTCACATGGTACGTTGAGTTTTATAGTCATTTATGACGTGTTTTGACTGATTTGGGTCAAAACACATGAAAACACTACAGAATGTCTATTTACTTGGATCCTGCTAAAGCTGAGGTACCTGTTTTTAGATCTACCTTGTTCCCAACACGGGGAGACGCTCGTGAAAGATCGCTCAAGTCGGACAAAAACAAAGAAAAAAGTTCATTTGTAAGAGTTTGAGATGATTAGAATAGACAAGAATCCGTTCTGAACACTACCATCAGAACACGTGGGGCCTTTAAAGCTGGGGGGCGTAACTTTTGAATCGTGAAATATACATGTTGGGCTAAAATAACCAAAAAACACATTCATATGAAAACAAGGGATAGAACCAGACTGTTTTGAGAACAAGGGGTGGCTGAGTGGTTAGCGTTCAAGCTTCTCTGCACTGTATTGTACTGGGAACAGGGCCTTTGTGGGTATCCTCCAGGTGCTCCGGTTTCATGTACAATAAGCCCAACCTGAGCATCAACTAAAATTAGCAACTTGATGTCTCTGGTGACTTAGATTTCATTCCATACAGATTAGATTAGGTCAGAGTATGTAAGAACAGCTGCTTTGACTGCTGCCCCCGCAACCCGGCAACGGGTTAAAGCAGAAGAAAACGGACGGATTAGATCAGTGTCCAAATTTAGTTCATTGTGTTCATTTTAAGACACAATTGAAAACAAATGAGAGAATATAAAAGTGAACGGCTGGATTCCAAAAGTTTAGAGCTTTACAACGAGGTGCAGCATGACTCTAATGGTGAAGCTGAAGTTGGCTGAATGCTATGCACCTCTGTATCAGCCAGGCAGAGGGTCACATGAAGTGAAACAGTGGATTAGATTAAACTTTATAGTAATTACAAAGTCACAAAAACAAAGCAACAAAATACAGTTTACCCAGAATGCAGCACAAGTTTAGGATCATATTTACTCAGAAGAAGTTACATAACCCAGCTTTAAGGGAACAATGTCCAGGCCCCAGACCACAACAGCAGCATCCAGAAGGAAGGGGGCGTGTCTTATCCAGATAAAATATCATCTAAATGTGTGTGGCTGACTACCTTCGTCACAAACTTCTACGTCGACTTCGAGAGAACGACCTCAAACCTTGGAAAGTCAGGTCCCCCGGCTTTAACACCAGGTGATACCTGTGTGTGTGATCCTCGCTGCTACTGTTCTGTCATGGTTTGGTCCTGATGACTAATGCATCTGGAATCTCTCAATAAAGTGGTTTGAAAGTCCGCCCTCTCGACTACTTCTGTTGTTTGTCTCTGAACACTGCAAAAAAAGACCAAATATGAGGTCGTCATTGCATGAACCATTTTTATCTTAATTTAAGTCTTAACTTAAAGACTTTTTTATTATTTTCTGTTTCCAAGAGAGACGTTTCTTGTAACTTTTTATCATTGTCCTTTGTCCCATCTGTATAATTATGATTATTAATATAGAAATAAAATTATGAAGTAGAATTGATCTTTCTAAAAACTTAACAATAGTAATAATCAGGTCACAGCAGCAGAGGTGGACCATTTTCTCTGCTCTGGTCCAAAGTAAAATGCTTCATTAGCAATTAAAAAGAAAAAAAAAAAAGTTTGCATTCCTCCAGTGGATTTTCTCCTGATCCACTTGGTTGGGACCATGAATCCTCTCTGCTCTGGTCTGGACCAGTGTAAAACCATGAATCCTCTCTGCTCTGCAAATAACATTTGTAAAACACAAAACAACTGCTTCTGAGTTATTTTTCATCACTTTTTCCTGTGTTTCCAAACGTCCTGCATCTCATCAAACATGATCTTCTGCCAAAAGGAAGAAGCTGAAACATGGATTTTTCCAGGGGCCAGAAGAGTCATTGATTCGGCCCGAGTCCTGGTCTTGGGCTTTGGGTCTGAGACTGGTCTAAACTACAGCCTCCAACACAATACTCAAAACTACACTACAAAATTAAATGTGCTCAAATGAAACTAAAAACCACTCGATTCAAGCATTTATTACCTCGTTTTAACATTTTTTGCAGTGATCGTAGTTGTTTTGCTACGTTTTTAGTCTGAGCAAAACATGAGACAGTATGAGGTAAAATATTTTGTTTTACTTAATCTGAAAACATTCTGACTGTGTTAAAAGCAGATTCTCCACTGGGACAAAGCATTTGTGAGCATTTGTGAGGGTGATTCAAAGCTCGGACGCAGCTGTTTGTTTCCACGCAGTCATTTTGAGGTGTTTTAATAAAGAGTCGCAGCTCCAGATGTTTGTACAAGAGAGGAATTCTGACCAGGAAGAACGAGAGAGCACCTCCTGTAGCCCTGTTTCCACCGACTCTACTCTACTCTACTCAACCCTAACCCTCTTCTCTAGCACCTGCATGTCTCTCTCCTGGGGTCTGTCTGTGTCTCTCTCCTCATCTCTCTCCTCGTCCCTTTCCTTGTTCCTCTCATTGTCTCTCTCCTCCTGCCTCTGGTCTCTCTCCTTGTCTCTCTTCTCGTGAGTCTCACCTTTTCTCTCTCTCTCATGGTCACTCGCTTCTCTCCTCGTGTTTATCTCCTAGTCTCTCTCCTGGTCCCTCTCCTGGTCCCTCTCCTGGTCTCCCTCCTGGTCTCTCTCCTGGTCTCTCTCCTGGTCTCTCTCCTGGTCGCCCTCCTGGTCTCTCTCCTGGTCTCTCTCCTGGTCTCTCTCCTGGTCTCTCTCCTGGTCTCCCTCCTGGTCTCTCTCCTGGTCTCTCTCCTGGTCTCTCTCCTGGTCTCTCTCCTGGTCTCCCTCCTGGTCTCTCTCCTGGTCTCCCTCCTGGTCTCTCTCCTGGTCTCTCTCCTGGTCTCTCTCCTGGTCTCTCCTGGTCTCTCTCCTGGTCTCTCTCCTGGTCTCTCTCCTGGTCTCTCTCTGGTCTCTCTCTGGTCTCTCTCCTGGTCTCTCTCCTGGTCTCTCTCCTGGTCTCCTCCTGGTCTCTCTCCTGGTCTCCCTCCTGGTCTCTCTCCTGGTCTCTCTCCTGGTCTCTCTCCTGGTCTCTCTCCTGGTCTCTCTCCTGGTCTCTCTCCTGGTCTCTCTCCTGGTCTCTCTCCTGGTCTCTCCCTGGTCTCTCTCCTGGTCTCTCTCCTGGTCTCTCTCCAGGTCTCCCTCCTGGTCTCTCTCCTGGTCTCTCTCCTGGTCTCTCTCCTGGTCTCTCTCCTGGTCTCTCTCCTGGTCTCCCTCCTGGTCTCCCTCTCCTGGTCTCTTTCTCCTGGTCTCTCTCCTGGTCCTGGTCCTCTCTCCTGGTCTCTCTCCTGGTCTCTCTCCTGGTCTCTCTCCTGGTCTCTCTCCTGGTCTCCCTCCTGGTCTCTCTCCTGGTCTCTCTCCTGGTCTCTCTCCTGGTCTCACATCCACAGATCTGCTTTTGCAACACTCAGGTGTGACAGGTCTGAGCCGCAGAGTCTCACCACAGGCTTCATGCAACACTGTAGAAATGTGCAGCAGGGATTTGGACACGGCCACAACTCACACATGAGCAGAAAGTCTACAGCAGCAAACACACGACAACAGACACGACAACAGACACACACTTATTCAGCTCAAAGTAGTGGATTCACCAACACAGATCAGAGAATCGAGCCGTTCACACACAGGACACACAATAATAACAGACACATGGAGCCTTTGGTCCAGAGGGAGCGGGACGAGCACTGTCCAGAAACCTCCTGGATCATCATTACTGGGCATCAACAAAGAACCAGTCAAAGTGACTGCTTCAGACTGTGCAGTGACTGCTTCAGGCTGTGCAGTGACTGCTTCAGACTGTGCAGTGACTGCTTCAGGCTGTGCAGTGACTGCTTCAGACTGTGCAGTGACTGCTTCAGGCTGTGCAGTGACTGCTTCAGACTGTGCAGTGACTGCTTCAGACTGTGCAGTGACTGCTTCAGACTGTGCAGTGACTGCTTCAGGCTGTGCAGTGACTGCTTCAGACTGTGCAGTGACTGCTTCAGGCTGTGCAGTGACTGCTTCAGACTGTGCAGTGACTGCTTCAGCTGTGCAGTGACTGCTTCAGACTGTGCAGTGACTGCTTCAGGCTGTGCAGTGACTGTGCAGTGACTGCTTCAGACTGTGCAGTGACTGCTTCAGACTGTGCAGTGACTGCTTCAGACTGTGCAGTGACTGCTTCAGACTGTGCAGTGACTGCTTCAGACTGTGCAGTGACTGCTTCAGGCTGTGCAGTGACTGCTTCAGGCTGTGCAGTGACTGCTTCAGACTGTGCAGTGACTGCTTCAGGCTGTGCAGTGACTGCTTCAGGCTGTGCAGTGACTGCTTCAGACTGTGCAGTGACTGCTTCAGGCTGTGCAGTGACTGCTTCAGACTGTGCAGTGACTGCTTCAGACTGTGCAGTGACTGCTTCAGGCTGTGCAGTGACTGCTTCAGACTGTGCAGTGACTGCTTCAGGCTGTGCAGTGACTGCTTCAGACTGTGCAGTGACTGCTTCAGACTGTGCAGTGACTGCTTCAGGCTGTGCAGTGACTGCTTCAGGCTGTGCAGTGACTGCTTCAGACTGTGCAGTGACTGCTTCAGGCTGTGCAGTGACTGCTTCAGGCTGTGCAGCTACAGTCATATTCTCTGCTCTGTTTCGTTCAGAAAACACAATCTCATTCTTTTCGTTCTCACTGAGCGACACTTGCTGGTATCAAAATGACTTTGTTTTTAACTCCCCTTGCAACAAAGATCTTTTTTCTTGTCTTTGACCAATAAAACCGGCTCCCATCCAACCTCTGAAGCTAAGCAGGGCAAGGCCTGGTTAGTACTGTGATGGGAGACCTCAGGTGACAACCGGATGCCACAGTGAAGCGGCTGCGGCTGTAAAGCACTGCTCCTTAGTGGCTCAGGTCTGTGTCAATCAATCAAATTTTATTTATGAAGCGCTTTTCATACAAAAGATGCAACACAAAGTGCTTTACAGTTTGGTTAAAAACAATCCCGCCGACCCAAGACCCCTCCCCCAGACCACCCAACAGACCCACCCCAAACCACAGACAAACACACACACACGCTCATGAACACTCATACACACACACACACACACACACAGACACACACACACACACACACACACGCACCAGTAAAACAATAAAACCATGATGAAAGACTTGGCAGGGTTCAGATGCAACCAGCTGAAAAAGCGTCATCCAAGGAGCCGTCTGCACCAGGAGCAGAGAGCCGCCCGTAGCCACAGGGGACGACGCAGGACCCAGAGGAGACATGAAACCGAGGCACCAGGCCCAAGAGTCCGACCCCCGCAGCCACACCGACCACTGCTCCCAGTGCAGAGGGCTCCTCCAGAGGAAACACTGGGTACACTAAAAACAATACAATACAATAAGTAAAACACTAAAATGTGAGACTAAAAGGAACACACAATACATGAATAATAGCAATAGCAATATAATAAATAATAAAAGATACATAGAATGGAATAATAAAAACTAATCAAAAGCTAATCTAAAAAGGTGTGTCTTGAGCCTACTTTTAAAAATATGAACGTTCTCTGCGGCCCTGAGCTCCTCCTCAGACTGTTCCAGAGACGGGGGCCGTAGTGCTGGAAAGATGCCTTGCCGTGAGTGTGTGTCCTGACTTTTGGAATGGTTAGGAGTCTGCTGCCGGAGCAGGGGCCGGGAAGGTTCATAGAATAAAAGCAGTTCTGAAAGATAAGAAGGCCCAAGACCATTAAGACATTTAAAAACCATTAAAAGAACCTTAAAATCGATCCTGAAACACACGGGGAGCCAATGCAGCGATTTTAAAACCGGTGTAATGTGGTCCCGCCCCCTGGTCTTAGTCAGGACCCGCCCCCTGGTCTTAGTCAGGACACGTGCCGCCGAGTTTTGGAGTAATTGTAAACCTGAAATATTCTTATTGGGAAGACCAGAGAGCAGGGCATTACAGTAGTCAATGCGACTGGTGATAAAAGCATCAGCGTCTCCGTGTTGCCCCGAGAGAGAATGGGGCGGACTCTGGCGATGTTCTTTAAATGATAAAAACCTATTTTTGTGATATTCTTGATGTGAGGAATAAAAGTCAGCTCAGAGTCAAAGATTACGCCCAGGTTTTTCACTTGTGATGATGGATTAAAAGAGTGTGATTGGAGTTTTGGTAAAAGTTTCTCTCTCTGGGCCTCAGGACCGATGACTAAAACCTCAGTTTTGTCCTGGTTAAGCTGGAGAAAGTTTTCTGCCATCCAGGATTTCAGGTCTAAAATGCAGTTAAAAAGAGCCTCCATTGGCCTGGTGTCATCAGGAGACATGGAGATGTACAGCTGTGTATCATCTGCATAACTGTGGAAGTCAATTCCATGTCTCCTGATGACACCGCCAAGAGGGAGCATGTACAGGTTAAAAAGGACTGGACCTAAAATGGAACCCTGGGGCACACCACATGTGATTTTATGGACCTGAGAGGAGCAGGTATCCAAACTTACCATGAAGGATCTGTCTGTTAAATAAGAAGTGAACCATTTGTGGACAGCACCAGAGAGGCCGAGGTGTTGTAGGCGTGATAAAAGAATGGTGTGGTCTACTGTGTCGAAGGCAGCGCTAAGATCCAGTAGAACCAACACAGTCACCTTTTTGAAATCATAACTTAGTCTAAAATCATTTCAAATCTTTTAAAGAGCTGTCTCTGTGCTATGGTTCACCCTAAAACCTGATTGAAATTGCTCTAAAATTTGCTGCTGATCTAAAAAGGCATTGAGCTGGGTAAAAACAAGTTTTTCTAAAATTTTGCTTAAAAATGGTAAGTTGGATACCGGTCTGTAGTTGTTAAAATCATTAAAATCTAAATTGCTCTTCTTCAGAAGGGGTCTCACCACAGCCGCTTTGAAGGCTGCAGGAAAGACCCCAGTCTGAAGAGAGCAATTCATCAGGTTTAAAAGCTCCTCTCTAAAAGATTCATAAAATGACTTAAAAAATGGAGTGGGGACTGGATCTAAAAGACATGTGGTGGGCCTCACTGAGGAGAAAACTTTATCAAGCATCTCAGCATCAACCAGGACAAAACTGTCCAGTGTTTCCTCTGGTGAAGACAAACAATCAGATGTGTTAAAAACAGTAGTGCAGTTGGATAAAATGTTACATCTGATTGTATTTATTTATTTATTTTAGGACTGCTCCTCACAGAGGGAGTCTGTGGGGGTTAAAAGAGACATGCTAAAATCAGGGTTTAAAATGGTGCCGATGGTTGAAAAGAGGATTTTTGGATTATTTTTGTTCTGGCTGATTAGATTTTTAAAGTATTTGTTCTTATGATTTCTATTTGTGTAATTGTATGCTTTTTGATTGTTTTTATATATTTCGTAGTTGATTGTTGTTTTATTTTTCCTCCATCTTCGTTCTGCCACCCTGCACTCTTGTTTCATTTTGCGTACTTCCTCATTTCTCCACGGGGGTAAAGATTTTGTTTTTATGATTTTTGTTTTTAAAGGAGCCACCTGATCCAACGCAGAACTAAGTCTACTGTTAAAATCATTTGCTATAAAATCACATGGGGCAGGTAAAACCAAGTGGGGAGTGTTGTTTAGGATGTCGATAAAATTTGCAGCCACTTCAGGGGTTTATAGTAAGTAAGTAAGTAAGTAATCTTTATTTATATACCGCCTTTTCACTGCAGATCTGAGTCTCAAAGCGGTTTACAATTGTTAATTTTAGGCAATTGTCTCTCTCTCCACACAGAGATGGGAGCGGGGTCGCCAGTACAGGAGGCGCATGCTAGAACTATTGGACATATTTTTAGTGGTAGGGGAAACCGGAGTACCCGGAGGAAACCTACGCAGACACGGGGAGAACATGCAAACTCCACTCAGAAAGGCCCTGGTCCGACCGGGATTCGAACCCAGGACCTTCTTGCTGAGAGGCGAGAGTGCTATCGACTCAGCCACCGTGCCGCCCGGTTAGATGTCGCCTCCTCACGGTTCTCACAGAGGTCTCGCGCTGAATAAAATCAGTGATGTTAAAAAACACACAGTAGTGGTCCGAGACAGCCAAGTCGACAACAGAGGACACATCCGCAGTCAGGCCATAGGTAATGACCAGGTCGAGGGTGCGTCCCCTGTTGTGTGTTGGCTGTCTGACGTGTTTGGTAAAATCCATGTAATTAAGAACATCTAAGAAATCTAGGGTAGAATTGTCAGAGGGATTGTCAATGTGTATGTTAAAATCACCGGTTAAAATTATCATATTGTAAGAATTGTGTAACTGTGATAAAAACGCTGAGAATTCAATGATAAAAAGGCTGCACTTTTTAGGTGGCCTATAAATAATTACTGTTAAAATTTTGGGGTTGCTAAAAACAAGAGAGTGATACTCAAAACTTGAGTATTGGTTAAAAACAATAGGTTTGGTGGCCAGGGTGTTACTGCATATTGAGGCTGTGCCGCCACCTCTCTTTCCTTCTCTTGTTTTAAAAGCAAAGCTAAAATTGGGGGGGGGGGGGCTCTGTAAGAACAGCCGGAGCATCCGGACCCAGCCACGTCTCAGTTAAAAACATACCATCCAGTTCGTGTTCTAAAATCAAATCGTTTACAGTAAAAGTCTTATTTAAAAGAGAGCGTACATTTAAAAGGGCAAACCTGATGGTAGATGGGTTGTTATTGTTGATGGGGAGTCCATTGTTTGAAGTGGGGGGAGCAGAGGATGAGAGAGGGCAGGGGGAAACAGTGATGAGGTTGGTGAAGGACGGTTTCCTGGGTATGGACGGTCTGTAGGGGCGGGGTCTGGACAAAACTGTAATTTTGTGCTGGGGAAGAGAGCAGGGGTTGATGCTGGGGCATAGACGGCAGGAGGGATGTGGGATGTGGGGGTGGGTTGTCAGAGGTATGTAGGATGGGATTGGACTGCGTGGGTGATGTTGGAGATCAGGTACCGGTTGCCAAGTGGGTTGATGTGAAGTCCGTCGGGTGTGAAGAAGGGGTAGCGGTTCCAGAACAGATTAAAATTGTCTATAAAACCAAAGTTGTGATGGAGTGATGTTTGATTGAGCCAGGTGTTGAGTGATAAAATCCTGCTAAAACGCTCCTTGCCGCGGTTCAGAGTGTCGATGCCTTTAGATTTACTGTTGAGTACTTAAGATTTTTTTTTTTTTTTTCGACTGAGCGACAGTGGCTCAGTTGGTAAAGCACTAGCCTGGTCTTAACCATCCGTACTCTCCGGTCAATGATCATTTCCTGCATGCAACGTCTGGGTCTGGTCCCTGTGTTTGCGATTAAATCTGTTGACTTCTATCCGACCAATCAGCGAGCGTGGGAGGCGGGTGTTGTAGTTAGATGTGGGTGACGTCATGAGTTTGCGTTGAACGGGCAGGTTGTAGTTTGGCAATGGTGAAGAATGTGATAGTAAAGTATTCTGGTCTGGTTCTATCAAGAAATTGAAGCCGGAGCAATAGGAATGTTTAGCAAATGTAATCGCTGGCAAAGATTGTGGCGCTACTCCCCGCGGGCTCCGTTAGCGGCGAAGGAGATGGCTAATGCTAGGCTAAATGCTAACGACTCACTCGGGCTCATTACATACGTCACAGTAAACACAGATCCAACCGTTTCAATCTGTAAAAAGAGTTAGCCCCTCCCACCTGTTCACGGAGTCAATGGAGCACCTCCAGACCTTAGTAAGAAATGTAACTTGTACTATGGTGTGGTACGACCAGGCTAGTAGAGCACAGGTCTTTGGACCTAATTCTATCCTGGTCTCTCTCCTAATCTCTCTTTTGGTTCTCTCCTGGTCTCCCTCTGGTCTCTCTTCTCATTGATGCGATTATAACAAACTGTTTGATTCTCTGATCTGTCGTTGGAGAATCCATTGAATAGAGTTGAATAAACATGGACTCGTTGACTGTAAAAATATGTTAGTTTATTGTTTCTACACTGTACAAACATAATTTTAAACACATCCGAACATGACGCAGCAGAGACGTTTTACTGAACACAGATATTTGAGGTAAAGTCGCCGTAAAATAAAGAATCTCAGACTTTTCTCCACATTTCAAAAACTCAAGTTGTGTTTCGCTTTTTCCCTGGAGACAAGCAGCCAATTCGTCCACTTCTGGTTTGTTTATAATGTATGGATTACCTGGATTTGTGACGGCACAAAAACACGTGACATCACACATTTCGACACGGGAAAACCAAAACCGAGAAAAGTCCGAGATTACGGCAACTGCAGAAATAACTGAGTTTAAAGAAATATGGCATTTGTAGAAAAAGACACCGCTGAGAGAAAGGCACGTGTTGAATTCTGTGGAAGTTACTAAAGAGAAAGCAGCTGTGTTATGTGGCATCCAAGGTCCCGCAGACATGAAGTCAGCGATCAGCAGAGGTTATTTCCTTAAACAACTAAGAGTAGGCAATGGTTTTGATCACTTTGAAAGTTTTTTTTTGGACGATAGGTGAGGTGCGCTCCAAGTGTGAGCCGAGGTGAAGGCCCCCTCGTCCCTGTTGATGGTCCGAATATACGTCACGTGTCTCTTCTGACGAACGCGAATGTCACAACTTAGCAGCACTAGCTTCTTATCAAACAAACCTTCTAAGCCTTCAATATAAGATTACAGCTCAAAAAATACTTGAAAATTAAAACTTGATTAAGGCATTTTCTACCTTATATTTGACCATTATTAAAATCAAATTAACGTCATAATAATTTCAAAAGGTGTTGATTAAAGCTGGGGAACGAGACCACGACAGCCTGCCTTCATCTCACTGCTTACATATACATTAGTGTGGTCCCTGTGAATCACTATTTGACTCTTTGTGCTCTGATTGGATGAGTGAGGGTGGTCCATTTTGTCCCTTTTCTGTCTAAAAAAGCAGCGACAAAGGCCAAAACACATGAAAACTAAGCTACAAGGATTGTTTTACATAATTCTGTGATGATGGCTTGAAAGTTACATACCCCAGCTTTAAAATGTGGTATAGTTTTTGCCCAGGCCTGTTTGAGTGTCTCTATAACAACAGAAAATAAAATAACAAGGTATAAAAGCAGTGAAAAGTCTGCTTTGCGTTTTATACATCGTCTCACAATCGCACTCAAAATGGCCGCCACATTCTCCACCTTCTCTCTAGTAACTCTGATTAGTACATTATTATCACTTTTCCCGGTTACTGGCATCGCAGGAAAGACCATATATGGAGCAGCATCTATCATTGACAAAAATCCACACATATAAAAATAGCAAAAGGTTTAAACAGTTTGTGATAATCCTGAGTAGTTTTGTGGGTTTTGCTAAATGCAAAAGGCAAGAATTGTGGCACTTTGTTAAATATACATGAGTTTTGACGGTATGACAGAAGGATAAATGTCTCTTTTATAATAAATGTATAAGTTTACATGATGTTTATGTATTTATGTGATGTTTGTGATTCCTTCAAACTCAGCATGAAATAGTTTTTGTCGTGAAAGTTGAAGGAAGCAGTTGAGAACTCAGCTTTACTCCGTATGAAATGAACTCATGTAGATATTTCTCTGTCTGCAGTGTTAGACTGTACCAGCAGCTCAAAGGGCTCTGCAGTAGACTCAAGTCCAGACTAGGGTTAGGGTAACACACATGTGACGTAGGATCACATTAGTCCTGGTCTCAGGTCTCTGCACCTGTGGCTCAGAGAATAGACTTTAAATCAGTTCTGTTTGTTACAAGGTTCATCTGAGACATGTTAGAGACATATGAACCAAGTCTGCTCCTGCTGGGACTCTGAGGAGCACAGGGACTGGCCTCCTGCTGGGACTCTGAGGAGCACAGGGACTGGCCTCCTGCTGAGACTCTGAGGAGCACAGGGACTGGCCTCCTGCTGGGATTCTGAGGAGTACAGGGACTGGCCTCCTGCTGGGACTATGAGGAGCACAGGGACTGGCCTCCTGCTGGGACTCTGAGGAGCACAGGGACTGGCCTCCTGCTGAGACTCTGAGGAGCACAGGGACTGGCCTCCTGCTGGGACTATGAGGAGCACAGGGACTGGCCTCCTGCTGGGACTCTGAGGAGCACAGGGACTGGCCTCCTGCTGAGACTCTGAGGAGCACAGGGACTGGCCTCCTGCTGAGACTCTGAGGAGCACAGGGGCTGGCCTCCTGCTGAGACTCTGAGGAGCACAGGGACTGGCCTCCTGCTGAGACTCTGAGGAGCACAGGGTCTGGCCTCCTGCTGGGACTCTGAGGAGCACAGGGACTGGCCTCCTGCTGAGACTCTGAGGAGCACAGGGTCTGGCCTCCTGCTGGTCCCAGAGTCAGGACTAAACATGAAGAGGCAGCGTTTCAGATCCATGCAGGTAAAATCTGGAAGTCTTCCTGAAAATGTGAGACAGGCTTCTTCTCTGACAATTTTCAAATCCAGGTTAAAATAGTTTTGTTTGGAGTAAAGCGGCTTCTCAATGAATAACTCTTTAAACACATGCATGGACGGCCCTTTGTCCAATTTTGCAGCTTAATAAAGTTTATATTCCAAAGGGTCCGTCGACAGTACAGATGGAGCTTGTTCCATCTCTGGTTTGTAAAAATATCAGTTATTTTTTTCAGTGACAAAAACAAAGTAATTTCACATTTACAGAGTGTTTGTGAAGCAGCAGCGTTCTTTCAGGAGCCTGTCTCCATGACGACATGCACGAGTCCAAGAACAGTGACTTAATACTAAAAAGTCCAAACAATAAGGATGGAGCCTGAGATTTGAGCTTATATAAATATAGATTCTTACATCAAACTGGAAACAGTGAAGCGAGGTTCAGACGCCGAGATGAGAGAAGGAGAGAGATTTGAGCTCCAGTGGGGTTGAACAATGAGGTGGTAAGATTGTTCCGGATCCAACATAGAGCTGTGGTTGTGGGTTCAAAGAGAGAGACCAAAGAGAGAGACCAAAGAGAGGGACCAGAGAGAGAGACTAGAGAGAGAAACCCGAGAGAGAGAGAGAGAGAGAGAGAGAGAGAGACTAGAGAGAGACCAAAGAGACAGACCAGAGAGAGACAACCAGAGAGAGAGACCAGGGAGAGAGAGAGACAACCAGAGAGAGAGACCAGGGAGAGAGAGAGACAACCAGAGAGAGGCCAGAGAGAGAAACCAGAGAGAGAGAGACTAGAGAGAGACCAAAGAGACAGACCAGAGAGAGACAACCAGAGAGAGAGAGACTAGAGAGAGACCAAAGAGACAGACCAGAGAGAGACAACCAGAGAGAGAGACCAGGGAGAGAGAGAGACAACCAGAGAGAGACAACCAGAGAGAGAGAGACTAGAGAGAGACCAAAGAGACAGACCAGAGAGAGATCAGAGAGAGACAACCAGAGAGAGAGGCCAGAGAGAGAAACCAGAGAGAGAGACCAGACAGAGAGGGGCCAGGGAGAGAGAGAGAGGCCAGAGAGAGAGACCAGAGAGAGACTAAAGAAAGAGAGACTAGAGAGAGACCAGGAAGAGAGAGAGAGGCCAGAGAGAGACCAGAGAGAGAGAGGGAGATAGAGGGAAAGAGAGAAGCCAGAGAGAGAGAGAGAGAGAGAGACCAGAGAGAAAGGATGTCTGTATTGTATGTATTTTGTCTTTTTTATGTTCGATGTGATTTAACTTAAATGTAACTCAAAAAATCTTGAGATAATTTTCTTCCCGGAGGCAAAATCTCTCTCCACTCGCTCTGGATCCAGGCCCCAAACCAGGCAGCTCCGCCTCTTTTCCTTCACGACCGGGAGACCCCCTCTGTGGCCCCCTCTGTCATGCTCACATGGTCCCTGAGCGTCACCGCAATATGGTACGCGTGCGGCTTCAGCGTCAGCCCGTACTCAAAGCCCATGGACGGTGGCCTGGAGGGGTCCGCTGTGATGTCACACTGATGAGCCAGCAGTGCCGTGAACAGAAACAGCTGCAGCTTGGACAGCTCCTCGCCGATGCACCGCCGTTTCCCCACAGAGAAGATCAGAACGCTCCCGGCGAGGTCTTTGTCCAGGGCTCCTTCTGCCGTCAGGAACCGCGCCGGCTCGAAGGCCTCGGGCTCCTCCCACATCTTGGCGTCGTGGTTGTGAGACCATTGGTTGACGAAGACCACGGTGTCCTTGGGGACCGGGTAGCCGTGGATGCTGGTGTCGGCCGTGGTGGCGTGCGGGATGGTGAGCGGGACGAAGCTGGAGAAACGCATGACCTCGTAGATGAAGGCCATGACGTAGGGCAGGCGTGGCTGGTCGTCCAGGGAGGGGAGGCGGCTGCGGCACAGAACCTGGTCCACTTCCTGCTGGAGGCGCCGCTGCATGTGCGGGTATCTGAGGAGAGAGACCAGGGGAGAGACCAGGGGACGGGGTCAAAGGGGAGGGCCGGGAGATTCAAACAGAAACGTGAGATTGGAAAGATTTTTGTGGGATTGTAATGAGAAAGAGAGCAACGAGACACCAGAGAGAGACAAGAGAGAGAAGCGAGAGAGACTAGAGAGAGAATAGAGAGAGGGAAACGAGAGAGACCAGAGAGAGAGGAGAGCGGAAAGAGAGAGAGAGACCTAAGAGACCAGAGAGCGAGACCAGTGAGAGAGACCAGAGAAAGAGAGAGAGAGAAAAGAGAGACCAGAGAGAGAGAGACCAGTGACAGAGAGAGAGAGAAAAAAGAGAGACCAGAGAAAGATCTCAGAGAGACCAGTGAGAGAGACTAAAGAGAGAGCAAAGACAGACCAGCTAGAAAGACCCACAAAAGAGAGATCAGAGAGACAGAGAGAGACCAGAGACAGAAAAGAGAGACCAGTGAGAGACTAGAGAGAGCAAAAACACATGAACAGGAAAACTAGTGATTGAAGCTAAATGTTTTGAGAGCGAGGAACTCTAATGTTTTTGTTTTGTTTCACAGTTGACAATGTGCCATTAAAGTTCGGATACGCAACTTTAACTCTTCAACAATTTTCACTAAAAACCAAAGTCCCTCTCTCTAGATGGACCAGTGCTTCTATAGTTTTCACAGAGCGTCCTGTGGGTTCAGCCTCGGTCACAGCTTCAGAGCAGATTTCACAGACAGTCAAATAGTGACTCACAGGGATCTCTCTCATGTTTACAAACGATCACAGATACACGGCTTTAGACACATATTTCACATGTTTACAATCAGATATTTTGTAGTTTTGTGAAAAGCCAAATCTCATAAAGTTTCAATACTTTTTGAGCAAATTCGGTGCATGTTTCTGTCAATAACAAACATGTTGATTTTAGCTGAATGGATAGAACTTTTTTCACCTTTTCAAAGCTGTGATGTATGTTTTTGGCAGAGAACTGTCCTAGTCTGTCTCGTTCACATTTAACTTTCACAAACCAGACTTTCTAAGACAAACTAAAGTCAGGTCCCTCAGCTTTAACGCGCAGCACTTGTTGCACTCACTTGATGAGGATGAGGATGATCCACTGCAGCGCCGTGGACAGTGTGTCCTGACTCGCCCCAAACACGTCCCCCACGATGGGACTAACTACGTCCTGGTCCTGGGTTATCCCGGGGCGGTGCCGCAGACTGTCCAGCGCCACGATGTATGCGTCTGTGATGTCACGGATCACCCCGTTCTCCAGGGTCTTCCGGTGCGCCACCACTTTGTCCCTGATGAAGTCGCCGAACTCCAGGTTGAGTTTCTTAAAGTTGTCAAAGATGGTTTTGATGGGGTTTGGGAAGTACTGCAGCCAGGGCATCACGTCCACGATGCTGCCCGCGCCCACGGTCTTAGTGAACTGGTCGTTCCTGCCCACCACCTGCTGGAACTCCTCATCATCGTAGGCGTAACGCTTCCCGAAGCAGAGCGCGCTCATCACGTTGGCCGTGGACACCACCAGATAATTCAGCGGCACGAAGTAGCTCTGCTCCCGGGTCTTCTGCACGAACAGCTGCAGCAGCTCTCTGCACTCGCTCAGGATGTGACGCTCGAAGGTCAGCTTGGTCTCGGGGTTCCCCTGGTAGAACATGCGCAGTGAGGACTGTGCCACTTTGCGGTGCGTCTTCCACCAGTCCGTGGGGGTGTTGAAGGCCACTCCGTTCCCCTCGGACACGTACTTGAAGGAGGCAAAGTCCGGTCTCCCCGCGAACTCTGGCCCCTGTTTGACCAGCGCCTGGCGGATGGAGGCTCCGTTCAGCACGAGCACGGGCCGTGAGCCCAATTTGATCTGGAACACGTTTCCATATTTCTGCGTCAAACGCGCAAAGTACTTGTGCGGTGTGCTGCCCATCTGCGCCGCGTTCCCGATGATGGGCCAAGAGAAGGGCCCCGGGAGCGCGGGCCCTGAGAGCGCGCGCAGCCAGCGCCACAGGTGCACGCTCACCAGCAGCGTGACGCATGACAGCAGCAGAGCGCGGAGGGTCGCAGGGTGAAGGTCTTCAGGCACAAGCTCCATCACGTGACGGGGAGCTCCTCAGGGGGTCTCAGAGGGCTCGTGCGCGGGGTTCGGGTGCGTCAGGTGACGCAGAGATGTGCGTCTGTCTCCGCTCATTGAGGCTTTGAGGACTCTGCTGCAGCTGCAATTTATCTGAAGCAGTAGTAGAGCGCGCCCCCGCTGCCAGGCGCGGGCCCTCCCACCTGCGCGCGCCTGAGACGTGCACGAATGTGAAACCAGAGGCTCTCGAGGAATTACACGACAGCAGCGCGCGTGCACTGAACAAGAGGAGACTTTAGTTCAATGTTTCACTCTGCTCTCCTCTGAGCTGAGGATAGAGCTGAAGTTAGAGCTGAGGCTGAAGTTAGAGCGGAGGATAGAGCTGAAGTTAAAGCTGAAGTAAGAGCTGAAGTTAGAGCTGAGGTTAGAGCTGAAGTTAGAGCTGAGGTTAGAGCTGAGGATAGAGCTGAGGATAGAGCTGAGGTTAGAGCTGAGGTTAGAGCTGAGGTTAGAGCTGAAGTTAGAGCTGAGGTTAGAGCTGAAGTTAGAGCTGAGGTTAGAGCTGAGGTTAGAGCTGAGGTTAGAGCTGAGGTTAGAGCTGAAGTTAGAGCTGAGGTTAGAGCTGAGGATAGAGCTGAGGATAGAGCTGAAGTTAGAGCTGAGGTTAGAGCTGAGGATAGAGCTGAGGATAGAGCTGAGGTTAGAGCTGAGGATAGAGCTGAGGTTAGAGCTGAAGTTAGAGCTGAGGTTAGAGCTGAGGATAGAGCTGAGGATAGAGCTGATGTTAGAGCTGAGGATAGAGCTGATGTTAGAGCTGATGTTAGAGCTGAGGTTAGAGCTGTGTTTTAGAGCTGCCTTCCTTTTTAAGTTCTGGAGCATGTGCACTTCTCTGTCCGTCCACCAGGCGGCGCTCGTGCTGTGGCTGGACTGTGCACGTCCACAGCCACAGACCATGACCTCTGCAGTATTTCATTTGTACATTATCCATGTATACAGTATGTGTGTATACATCCTTTGCAGTCAATTTGACGGCTTGTAATTGTGTAATGAACTTTGGGACTTTTTCTTTTCTGTTTCTGTAGTTTATTGTCATTATGTTTCCGCAGCAGGATCTACGGACAGTGACGATCAGGACTCCACATTCAACAACATTCATGGACATCGCTCTCTGCTCCTTATGGACCAGTGAATCTGTGTGTTTTTAACTCTTTGATTCTCTGATCTGTGTTGGCGACAGCTTTGTAAAGTATTCAGAGATCAGAGATTGCTTTAGGGCCAAACAAATATTGATCAACTAAATTTAAATGATCTCAATCCTAATCCAAACCCTAGACTGATCCTAGATTGATCCTAGGACAGGTTCAAGTGCTATAGTTACCATAGCAACACACTGTTTACTTGCAGCAGATAGTAGTTTTGTATCAAGTAATAAAGATCAGTCAATCTTTCTTTTGTTTCCTTTTTTTTTTATAGATGATGAAAAGATGAAAAGTAGTAAAGATGAAACGAAAAGTAGTGAAAACTAAAACTTTTTTTTGAACTCTAAAACACTCTAAAACATTTTAATTGCAGTCGATTTGACGGCCTGTAGTAAATACGTTCTTGGTCTTCATAACTTTTTCTATTTCTATGTCTCGTTTGTTTCTATGTCATTATTTTTATGACATTTACTTTTTCTATGAAATGAGAGTAATGCTGACGTTGCCGTAGAGCTAGAGTTACCATAGCAACAAAACGTTGCAAGCTAGCAGTTAGCATTTGCAAGCCTCAACATACTGTATTTGTTGCTGTAAGCTAAGTCAAGTTGTATTCACTAGTTTTAGCGCTTAGTAAAAGTGAGTAAAGATTAAAAAATAAATAAAAAAATAACACACTTTTAAGGACTTATTCTTTTAATAAAATCTGTCAAAAACCAAAAAATGTTTGAGGCAATTTCTCAGATTCTATTGGTCTGAATGAAAACCGTTAAAATGACCCCTCTGGTTGTAGCAGTTTCAAACTTGTGGGAGTCCTGTTGTTTAACCCTTTCACGGTGGTGCAGAGCTGGTGCGTGCGGCTCCAGTCCGTGGATCAGCACCGTGGACAGCGCATTTGACCCACATCTCCCGCGGCGGCTGCGAAGAGGCTCGTGCTGCGTGCCAACGTCACTCCCACGTGATCAGAGGTCTGCGTCGCGTGTGAGCGGAGAGAAAGAGGCGGGGCTTCCGACAGGTGACTGACAGGTGAATGGTCTCTGTGGCAATGCAGTGTTTGGACCAGGTCTTGGTTCAGGACACAGTGTACAAGTCAGAAGAATGTGTTCCCAGGAAGTGTGGCGACAGCCTTAACTCTGCACCTCTGAAGTTACAACATGAATGTGTCTAACTGAAATAAAGCTGAGGTACTTAACTTTTGCACTACAAATATGGAACCATATGAGCCCTGTTTCCACCAGACCTTCTCAGCCCTACTCTATATCTACTCTATACTCTACTCTACTCTATATCTACTCTACTCTACTCTACTCTACTCTACTCTACTCTACTCTATACCTGCTCTACTCTACTCTACTCTACTCTACTCTATACCTGCTCTACTCTACTCTACTCTATATCTGCTCTACTCTACTCTATATTTACTCTACTCTATAACTGCTCTACTCTACCTTGAGCCCTGTTTCCACCAGACCTTCTCAGCCCTACTCTATATCTACTCTATACTCTACTCTACTCTATACCTGCTCTACTCTACTCTACTCTACTCTACTCTATACCTGCTCTATTCTACTCTACTCTACTCTACTCTACTCTACTCTATATCTGCTCTACTCTACTCTATATTTACTCTACTCTATATCTGCTCTACTCTACCTTACTCTACTCTATACTTTACTCTATATCTGCTCTACTCCACTCTACTCTACTCTTCTCTATATCTACTCTACTCTACTCTACTCTACTCTACTCTACTCTACTCTACTCTACTCTACTCTGCTCTACCCTACTCTACTCTGCTCTACCGTGCTCTACTCTACTCTACCCTACTCTACTCTACTCTACTCTACTCTACCCTGCTCTACTCTACTCTACTCTACTCTACTCTAAGGTAGTCTACTCTACTCTACTCTACTCTACTCTACCCTGCTCTACTCTACTCTACTCTACCCTGCTCTACTCTACTCTACTCTAACCTACTCTACTCTACTCTATACCTGCTCTACTCTACTCTACTCTACTCTACTCTACTCTACTCTACTTTATACCTGCTCTACTCTACTCTACTCTACACTATACCTGCTCTACTCTACTCTACTCTATATCTGCTCTACTCTACTCTACTCTACTCTACACTATACCTGCTCTACTCTACTCTACTCTATACCTGCTCTACTCTACTCTACTCTATATCTGCTCTACTCTACTCTATATTTTACTCTACTCTATAACTGCTCTACTCTACCTTGAGCCCTGTTTCCACCAGACCTTCTCAGCCCTACTCTATATCTACTCTATACTCTACTCTACTCTATACCTGCTCTACTCTACTCTACTCTACTCTACTCTACTCTATACCTGCTCTACTCTACTCTACTCTACTCTATATCTGCTCTACTCTACTCTATATTTACTCTACTCTATATCTGCTCTACTCTACTCTACTCTACTCTATACCTGCTCTACTCTACTCTACTCTATACCTGCTCTACTCTACTCTACTCTACTCTACACTATACCTGCTCTACTCTACTCTAGTCTACTCTATACCTGCTCTACTCTACATTGAGCCCTGTTTCCACCAGACCTTCTCAGCCCTACTCTATATCTACTCTATACTCTACTCTACTCTATACCTGCTCTACTCTACTCTACTCTACTCTACTCTACTCTACTCTACTCTACTCTACTCTACTCTACTCTACTCTATACCTGCTCTACTCTACTCTACTCTACTCTACTCTATACCTGCTCTACTCTACATTGAGCCCTGTTTCCACCAGACCTTCTCAGCCCTACTCTATATCTACTCTATACTCTACTCTACTCTATACCTGCTCTACTCTACTCTACTCTACTCTACTCTACTCTACTCTACTCTACTCTACTCTACTCTACTCTACTCTACTCTACTCTACTCTACTCTATACCTGCTCTATTCTACTCTACTCTACTCTATATCTGCTCTACTCTACTCTATATTTACTCTACTCTATATCTGCTCTACTCTACCTTACTCTACTCTATACTTTACTCTATATCTGCTCTACTCCACTCTACTCTACTCTTCTCTATATCTACTCTACTCTACTCTACTCTACTCTACTCAACTCAACTCTACTCTACTCTACCCTGCTCTACTCTGCTCTACTCTACTCTACTCTACTCCTACTCTACTCTACTCTACCCTACTCTACTCTACTCTACTCTACTCTACTCTACTCTACTCTAAGGTAGTCTACTCTACTCTACTCTACTCTAACCTACTCTACTCTACTCTACTCTATACCTGCTCTACTCTACTCTACTCTACTCTACTCTACTCTACTCTACTTTATACCTGCTCTACTCTACTCTACTCTACACTATACCTGCTCTACTCTACTCTACTCTATATCTGCTCTACTCTACTCTACTCTACTCTACACTATACCTGCTCTACTCTACTCTACTCTATACCTGCTCTACTCTACTCTACTCTATATCTGCTCTACTCTACTCTATATTTACTCTACTCTATAACTGCTCTACTCTACCTTGAGCCCTGTTTCCACCAGACCTTCTCAGCCCTACTCTATATCTACTCTATACTCTACTCTACTCTATACCTGCTCTACTCTACTCTACTCTACTCTACTCTACTCTACTCTACTCTACTCTACTCTACTCTACTCTATACCTGCTCTACTCTACTCTACTCTACTCTACTCTATATCTGCTCTACTCTACTCTATATTTACTCTACTCTATATCTGCTCTACTCTACTCTACTCTACTCTATACCTGCTCTACTCTACTCTACTCTATACCTGCTCTACTCTACTCTACTCTATACCTGCTCTACTCTACATTGAGCCCTGTTTCCACCAGACCTTCTCAGCCCTACTCTATATCTACTCTATACTCTACTCTACTCTATACCTGCTCTACTCTACTCTACTCTACTCTACTCTACTCTACTCTACTCTACTCTACTCTACTCTACTCTACTCTACTCTACTACTACTCTACTCTATACCTGCTCTATTCTACTCTACTCTACTCTACTCTATATCTGCTCTACTCTACTCTACTCTACACTATACCTGCTCTACTCTACTCTACTCTACTCTATACCTGCTCTACTCTACATTGAGCCCTGTTTCCACCAGACCTTCTCAGCCCTACTCTATATCTACTCTATACTCTACTCTACTCTATACCTGCTCTACTCTACTCTACTCTACTCTACTCTACTCTACTCTACTCTACTCTACTCTACTCTACTCTACTCTACTCTACTCTACTCTATACCTGCTCTATTCTACTCTACTCTACTCTACTCTATATCTGCTCTACTCTACTCTATCTATTTACTCTACTCTATATCTGCTCTACTCCACTCTACTCTACTCTTCTCTATATCTACTCTGGTCTACTCTACTCTACTCTACTCTACTCTACTCTACTCTACTCTACTCTACTCTACTCTACTCTACTCTACTCTACTCTACTCTACTCTACTCTACTCTACTCTACTCTACTCTACTCTACTCCACTCCACTCCACTCTACCCTACCCTACTCTATTCTATTCTACTCTACTCTACTCTATATCTACTCTATTTTACTCTTTTCTACTCTATCTACTCTACCTCCCCATGTTTAGTTCTGACTCAGAGTCCCAGCAGGAGGCCAGTCCCTGTGCTCACCAGAGTCCCAGCAGGAGGCCAGTCCCTGTGCTCACCAGAGTCCCAGCAGGAGGCCAGTCCCTGTGCTCTTC